AAAAATAATAAAAAGAATATAATAAGATGAGAAAATCACCGTAAATGTTAGTACGACGCCTGCCGACACTAATATTTAAGATGATCTAAATTTACGTTAATACCTTCCTCCTGATCGTCGGAGGGTTCTCGAGGTCGTGTTCTCGAGAATTTGATCAAATACACTTCTATGATGTAAATGTAAATGCATGCACATATAATTTAATATAGTGTAGTCAACAATACTGTATTTTATATTTTAATATGTCTTACCTGACTCGCAGTTGTCACTGGGTTGGCAGTAGGAGTTTTAGGTGACACAAAATTAATTATTTAATATACTCGAAAAAATAAAGTAACACACTGATTATGCTCGTAAAAAAAGGAGTCCAGTTGTCGCTCGTAGAATTCGGTATGCAGAGGTGTTGTCAATCTGTTTTCGCGGTGCGCCTGCACTCGTGAGAGATTGTGTGATTGAAGAGAGGTGCTCATGCACTGCATGCCGAAGGGACGATCCGGTTGTGCCGACCCGTGATAGGCGGCTTCATCAAAAGGTTGTTTGTACATCCGATTTCTCTTCTGTGACAAGGACCTTTTTTACCATACCTTTTCTCCGGCGGCATGTAAGAAAGCCACACGTCCTACGCTCTACAGTTGCAAACATAGGTACGTGTCGATTTCTTAATCCCTGATCGTATAATATAATTAGACAATTTTGTCTGTGACAATGATTTATTGGGGTCTAGAGATTTCCGATTTCTACGTGTGACAGTCTGGCCGTTATTTATTTATTATATCTTAAATAATTGTTACAATGATGTGTGAGCATATCATTACAGATTCTACTAGAATTAATATCTAAAACTTTCGTCGATTAGTTTTTGAGTCTACCTGCTACATATATAAGGGCTTAGGAAACTGTCTTTATTGTTGTACATTTGGATGATAAACAATAAATATTTTATAATATTTTATTTAGTAAAAATCTCATAGCCACGCAAATGTGGGTCGTTTGTCTATACCATTTTTTTTAAAAATCGGTTTAAATTGTATTTCAGTAGCCAGATGCCGCCACTGGTGTATTATTAATATTATATTCCTCAATATTCCGGGGATAGAATATCGGGTCCATAAAACTATTCTTAAAATCTGTTAATTAGTCTAAACTCTTTAAATTGGATAAGACTCTGTTTGCGATAGGTATAGTTTCTAAGATCATCCGTTGGTAAAAAAATGCATTCTCATTTATGTGCATAGATAAATAATAAACATGTACATATATAAATTAATGTTTCTTTATTTGTCTTCAATAGACTCAAAAATTACTCAACCAATTTCCATAAAAATTATATCAATCGATTCCTTGAGACTCAGGAAGATGTTGTGCTTCATTTGAAGAGACTCATGCATGAATTTTATTTCAGCTCACGAAAATCTGCAGGAGAGGGTAATAGCAGGTAGGTATAGCTGCTAGTTTATAATAATAAGTAATAAACTAATAACTGACAGTATAATAAATGCTATACTTTCGGCAAAATGTATTACTACCTACCATATTACTAATAGTAAAATAAATTCCAATATTTATATAATAATATGCTTGTAGTAATACTGTAATAGGTATAGACTGGCATACTGTTCCTGCCGAGAACCGTATTTCTTATGGAATGATTTATCATTATTATCATTGAATTTAAATTCGACACATCCATTACAGTCGTGATCCACTCAATGACGACGCACACTTGACACCTACAGCTACGTATCAACACCAGATCGAATGCTTCGGGTTTTCTTCTCATTACTCCTGCTCATCTGCAACACATGCAAAGTTTGTTTTTTTTTCATAACGTTTCGATGATATTATAACCAATAATAAATTCTACTAATAATATTTATATTTAAATGTATATTTGTTGATAATGTATGTTATTCTTAGTCTTAGTTCCTTAGATTTGATACAAACCGTTTTAAGGAGTTCAAAATAGGCAATTTTCGTGCTTTCGGGTATTTTAAATTACCTATTATGAGTAGTGATTATTGGTGTATGATGCGTAAGTGATTGTTAATATTTTGTAGTGTAAAAGAAATAGCGGAGCACTCCTGCACGTGCACGTATATGTCAATAACTTGCTTCACGTTGTATGGAAGCCGGGTGAGGAGGAGAGGGTATTGACCAATCCTCCTCGGCCGTATTTATGTACAATTTGTATTTATTATAGCTTCTGAATTGTAAAAATTATGTTGTCTTATGGTTCTATTTCATATTTTATATTATTAAAATGATAATTAATAGGTACTACAATGGAGAGCGTATAAAGTCTCTTACAAGTTATGTATAAATATGCAATTAAAACACCCACAAAAAAAATCTGGACACATCCACGCCTGACTTCATGGATATTTATTATTTATTATTTTTTTTTTGTCCAAAAGTATTAATCTTTTGCCTATTTTTTAATAGCCATTGATCCTATAAAATGTCTGAAAACATATTTTAATTTGTTGTAAAATGAACTTGAAAAAGTTATTCTTAATTATTATTTTTAAATCAATATTATAAACGCATGAAATTGTTTTTATCCATTTAAATTTTAAATGCCTACTTTAATAAAGCAATGACATAATAATAATTTGTATAATACAATGAGTACAGATAAATAAATAAACAATCGATATTTTTTTTATTATGAAATCAAAATTATCGCATTGAAGCCACCGATTTGGTAACAATGACTCATTGACTGTATAGACTATACAGTACCTATCAAGCCTCTACAATATATTATACATGAATACATTATTCATCAATGACAGAACTACCGGTTTGTGTGACTATAATAATAATAATAATAAAAATGTCGAATTAGTATGATTGTCACAGTATTATTTATTGCCCATATAGTATTATAGTATATATATCGTAAAGGATCAAGGAGTTTATAAATTAAACTTAAAATCATAATTATGCTTTTAAATTTCCTCTCGACGGACACCGTGATAATGCCGGATATGCGGTGCGAGTTGTTGTAGAATACGCATTCATTTAAATAGGTTTATCCGTATACTTTTTCATTTTCATATTTGTACGATAATCTTCACGTATTTCATACTTAACGATCGTTTCCGTTGTGTCCGTTCTTCCTGCTTGCTTCCTTTGTCCTACACGTAACTCTCCGGACACGCGCGCTGACTCAAGCAACCAATAACACATCGTGTTCTGTTTCTTCGTCTACCGCGTAATATAGTTTTGTATTCATACATATTAAAATATTACCATATTATCCCATAATACTACTTCTATACATCAAATGGCGTAAATAATTATGGTGTGAAGCAAACGAATTTAGTTTTATTATCCAATATTGGGCAAAGTGAAAATCGATTTTTGATGCGGTCTAGTGATCAAGACATGCAGCAATATACAAACAGAAAATATAAAAAAGTGTAGACGGAAGAAAAACTATATGATCATATTTTACACTGATCAGTACCTATAGTATGTACCTACATCCATAATAATACCTTCCTAATGCATAACTTTCCAAAGAAATTATATTCCTAATTCCTATAGCAAAAAAAAAATTAATTAGTGTTTAATTAATCAGGGACTATACTGATATTATGGTTGGTAATTAGTAGTAAGTTGTATTGCACACACATAAATAGCCATATAGGTATATAGAATTTAGGTACTAGTGCAGGAGGTGTATAATAGTGTATGTCGTAATATATATACCGTCGGTCGTAAATTGGTCGATTATAAATAAAAGTCATAACACATGCAGTACATCTAAGTCATACATCATACTGACTATTGTATGAATAATGTTTCTAATATTAATTATTCTAAATATTGAAATAAAGAGTTTACACGTAATTTATTATTCACGATAAAGAAAAAAAAATTATATAGTATTACGTAATAATTCTGTGTTAAAAAATCAGCCAAGTATAGACAAAAAAAATTCAATTTTTTGAGTGATTTATTTGTTAGTGTTGTGCATTGTATTTTTTCTAAAAATTATCAACATATCGTATTATTCATCGCTAATATTGTTGATATGAATTTTAAAAAACTGGTGCATATAGGTACACGGTATTACTGTAAACATTTTACTTGAAATAATATATTATTTATTTCATAATAGATGGAGTTGTCCAATGCCCTATATGAAATTTGCATATTATAATTAATAACATTGAAATCATGTGATTTACTTTGATTTGCAAAGCAGGAAGTAAAAATTATAATACCAACCAGATAGGTACGCTAACGAAGAACAATTTTGTAGTTTCGATGATGAACTCGGGAACGAAGAAGCTATATTAATAAGCTTTTACGATGTAGGTTTAGTGACAATAGTAGTTTGCGATAATTTATATAGACGATTACCGATTGACATTGAAAAAAATTCATTATTGAAAACGCACAATAAATTATATACCTACTTACTATATTATAGTGTGTTAATCCGTCAATCGCGCGCGTCTTTTAAATTGTGTTTATATTATATAACACATTGTGGTATTATATTGAAATGTAAATTTTGACTCCGTATTAAACTCAATCCCAAACCGTATTTTTACAGTATTCACGAGGTACGAAAATCCTAAGGAAACTACCTGACGGAAAATCGCAATTTAGCATATTGACGGTTCAAGTGTAAAATATGAAAATATGACGTGTTCTATACGCGAATATCAGAATATCGTTGGAAACCGCGATTTAATATTCAAAACATTTTCCGCCAATTTTTTTCGACCGCTGAAATTTCTTGTTCTTGAACAGAAACCCACTACACACACACACACCGCCGTAACGGTACCAATATAATATTACGTATATCCTATATATATATAATATACGTCATTTACGAACGCGGAATACAAGACTGCCGCGCTTATAATAATATGCAGTATGTACACGTCATATATCAGCTCTACGGTAATATAATAAACATTACCTAAACGGGTACAACTCATATTCACGTTTCGGAGGCATACGCACGGCGCTCGCGATTTAGACACACTTAGGATTTCTGCGCAGCCGGTCGTCCGTCGTGTCTATAACACATCGATTTAATCGCATAACATAACATATATTATTATAGTATTATGTTATGTTATATTTATAACTATAATATAAAGTATTTCGCAGAACGTAAAATACATATCACAATATAATAATATATTTTATTATTGTATGTGTTGTGTAGGTACAGCGTGTCGTTGGTTTTGCATTGTGCACCGCTGCACTTGCACAATTTTTCACCACGCGTGTTTATTATTGCCATCGTGAAGTAGTATAAAGCAAAATATGATATCGATAAGTCAATAGAGTAATGATTTCAAACGGTTAAATTATAACAAAATGTATTCAACTGTCAATTATTGAGATGTGATTTCGGTTAATTAATATACTATTACAGTGCGCTCGTTCTACGTTATCCGCTTAACTTTAATATAATCAATATTGCTTAATATTTGCATTTTGTTGTTGCGGTTGGTGTAGATCGACTACTGATCTGTGTTTGCGCTGGAGGACGTCCACAGTTTTCACCGGCGATTGATTTCCATTGTGACAGCTCAAACGTTTTACGATAACGAGTAAGTTGTTATTATGCATGATTTTCTCTTCACCAAAATATAATATTATATTTCAAAATATGAATGACGTCTGAACACGAGCTGTCCATTAGAGCTCGTCCTCGATTATTGCTGTAATTTAGTTAGTTATTATCCGCATGAACTGCGATGTACCTACTTTATTTGTGTGACTGCCGACGCAACGTTTTTACAAAACCTGGAGATAACCTTTGATACATTTTTAATCGTCACGTTTTAAACATTTTTTTCAACTTTCCATCAGATATGACATTGTGTATTTTTCACTAAAATAATATCGACCACCTACATAGTGTACTACAATACTACATATACTACATAGCTATACTTACAATACGAGTAGGTACATACTGCATAATAATAGTACCTATATTATTGTGGTATTGTATTACTTTATTAACACGTGCAGATTTCATCATTTAGTGATCTAAGAATTAAGATCATAATGATATTATTACTTGAGTATTGTGCCTTAGTTGACGCCGTTCACACATGACACATCATATGTTTTAAGTTAACTAGGCAAGTAAACACGTTGTATAAATATATGGTTGATAACATAATATTATATTAGGTATTAACGTTGTTTTAATACATAATAACAACCGAGAACAGTTATGGCTAATCAACTCGGTCACAGTCTTTGAACGCACGTAGGTACATCCGCATATACCGAGTACACTTTAATTAATATATATAATATATATTATATATATTATTACTCATTAATAATTCAATGACTTACTTAATCTATTAACTATTAACTCGTTAATTATATACGAGTTACAATAAATGAATCGACTTATTTTGAAAATAAAATATGTTTCCAACAATATTATCACTCAAAAATATAGCTAAATTGATGTGTATTCGTGTTAACTTGTAGCAAAGAAACTTCGATTTACAGTTGGTAACACATTTGATTTTATAAGACATTATAAACAATATCATTTTTACTAATTCATTCATATGGTTTCTGATATATCAGTAGTGTATTGCTGATAACCTTTGCTCTATTAACGGCCAAGTACGTTTTGTATCGAACCAAATAAAGAAAAACCATATCCTTATGAAAACAATTGAAATAAACAATTATAGGCTGGTGCAGCCTTAATGACTATGGTAATTATTAAATTTCTATCATTTTCATAATATTATAACGTAAACTATTAAATAAATACATTTTTGTTCTTTGATATTATTATTGGTAGAAGTTTGATTCCTTGAAGTATATTTTATTGAATGTTTATTAAAAATCGAAAATTTAAAATTGAATGATAAATTGATAACACAGTGGGAAATTATTATAATAATGTTTATAATAAGACAAGTAACTGAAATCAAAATAGAGTTTAACAAAATACAGAGGTTGCCTCTCAGTATAGATTCGATCTTAAAGTTAGAATGTTTCTGGTCAGTTATATTTTTACAGACAAAAAATCAGGAAAAATGTTCTGGTATTTAGATACTTAATATGTTTGCATTCAAATATATAGTCATTACGACATCAATATTGGAGAAGGTAGTTTTTTCTTTAAAATCAAACGTTTCCGCTAGATTTATAAATATATAATATGGACATAAAATATCTGCCTGTCATCGAGTCCAATTTCCATTTCATACATAACGCGTGTCTACACTGTAATATTGACGATTTGGGGCATTCATGAGATACTAATATTATGTTATGATAATACCTATAATATCATTTGAAAATAATATGTACCAATGTGTGAAACAGTTGTGGAGGTAGTTATTAAACCACGAGTATTTTGGTTTTAAACAATATCAAAATTGATTCGTGAAATTAAAATCGTGACGTTATTGTGCAAAAATCATTCAGGATACAAAACGAAACTATATTAAAGAATAAAAGAAACTATGGTCGTATAGGTATATATTATGTACAGTTTTCAACTACTCACACAAAATACGCATAGTTTCTCGCATTATATTTAATATTTAATATTAAAATATTACAAAATGTATTTCGTTTAACATTTTATGTCATTTATACGAGTTGCGTAAAAATGTAATTGCATGTTTTGAATTATACCCTTTTTTCCGTGTAAAATGTTATACAATAATTTAATATTTATATCGAATCATTTTCCCAAGATACAAAAAATTAATTATTATAAATTATGAATAAATTAATTATTTATTGATTTTTTCTACTCTACGTTGGTGTATTATTTTAATCGATAGACAAAATATTAAAGAATATTCTATACCGTCTATATCTGTAAATATTCATCATTTATCAGATATAATTTTTATGAAAATAAATCCTTATTGTAATTTACATAGCATAATATTTATTATTTAAAAATTCTATACTCGAAGTACCTATATACACATTCAAATTAAAAAATACAGTTTTTTTATTAATACGAATTAGAAGTTGAAATATATGTAAAATAATGTTCGTTAATCGTGGCAAATAGTTTTCTGAACAATTTAAAAGACAAGAACATTTGGTTATCGATCGGTCAAATTTGAAGCACCGTTTAAAAAGAATGTTATTTTATTCAATCTGTTCATGTTCAATTTCGTGCTTTTAGATAATATTTACAGTGATTAGTTTTATAGACATTACTAGTTTTCATTCACCACCCGAATTCTTACTTTTTAGTGTAAGTATCGTAGATATTATCTATGTTGATATGCATACATTCGATATGATCTGATAAGGGGTGTATAACATTACGGTAGACGCTGCACGATGTTTTATATCATAAAAACGCGCATTTATCATATCGAAAATTTCCTGATGTCCATTTTTATTTAGATTATAATAATGTGTGTTCTTACTTAGCACTAATATATTTATAAATGTATGTATGCCATACTCAGTTGAATAGTTTAGTTCCATTAAATTCATAATCCATGGTATTTAAACTTTGGATAATTGTGCATTGTAAAGGTTTAGGTTAGGTTAGGTTATCTTTTCATCTTATTTTCCAAAATAATAAAATTGTCTCAGAAGTGGCTACACCCTTGGCTATATAGGTACTTATAGTCTATACTCTATACCATGATATAGAGGTGTATTATTATGATTGTTGAATAAAGTCAAACAGAACTAAATTATAATTAAACACTTCGAAATGGTCCTTGACCGGATAGATTTGAATAATATTATGATTTCGATAGTTATCATAACATTGACTTTGAAAAAGAACAATTACAAATTTTCTGCCAGTTAAAATTGTATTTGGTTATTTGATATACCTCAGTGGGTCACAACTCCAGTTATATTATTTTCTCTAAATATTTTGCGGTATGAATTCATGGTCACCAATCGATTATCAAGTGCGTGAAAATAATTGCCATTATTTTAAAAATTAAATGATTATGCAAAGTATATAAAATTCTTTTCTGCGAGTCCCCGTCATTTTATATTTAACCGCACTTAAAATCAAAAATTGCTGATCATTGAAAATGATGATTATGTTGGAAATTTTTTTTTTTTATTTAGTATTTATTTATATTATGAATGATAAAATTGAACAAGATTTTTTTCCGTATACTATCGAGTATATTAAATAAAAATAACTATTATTACGTTTCTGGCGAGTGCGGTGACTTATACGCCTAGCAGAAATAAGTACCGCGGACACGGGTGGGTTGTGTTGACGGACGTTGCAGTAAATATCGTTTGCAATAAATAATTTATAATCTTGAAATAATTCCAGCCGGAGATAATCAGAATTTTTATTACATTGAAATAATTATTAAATTCAACATTTTGTTTTGCATGTAAATTGATTAAGAGTGAAATATTTGTAATGTATATGAAACATTATACATGCATAGATTTCTGAAATTTGGAAAGACGGTTTAAAATAAAATAGACTACAGCATATATCTATACCACATCCTATTTTTAATCTTCACACCAGATGTATTCCGGTTTGGAAGGAGCACTAAATTTTGTTTTAGTTGTGGTATTCTTATCGTAACATGGTACAAAAATAAAGAATATTCTAATTGTTGTGATATACCTAGCTGATGGCAATTTATTTTATATTTTTTTTGTATAAATAAATAATATATTTTACACTTAAAAATATATACATTTTTAGTAATTATGCACCTTTTGATTTTTGGATACAACCTTAAAAAATTGTGTGGTTTTAACCTACTAAAAGTGTGCGGTTTTTGGATTCAATAATTTTTTTATGATTAAATATAGATAAGTAGTTAATTATAAATAATTAAAATATCAGTATATATCACGTATTCAAGTCAACATTTAATTAACCCTGGCTGATGTGGTTTCTCATAACAGCACATTGAGGAATAATAGTGTAATAAATGTATGCGAAATAATATACCTAATATGACAATATATCTACTGTTGTTGTCCCTCGAACGCTTCACTCACTTAGTGCCCTTGTTCTATAATATACGAACGAGAAATATCCCTTGACCTGTTGTGAAAAACCACTTTATGTATGTAGGTATATAGGTTGGACTAGGTCAGGGGTTGGAAATGTATTGAAAATTAAATTCAAGTATCTACGGTTATTCGTTTATTTGTTTTTGGAATACAATAAGAAAATAAAAAAACTGATTTCGACAAAAACTAGTTTTGCCCAAAAATTGACGTTTTTCTGGAGTTTTATTTTTATTTTATCACTAGACATATTTTACTTATAATTCCCTCCCACAATTCCATCTAAATTCACGTTTCCATCAGAAAACACATTAAAATTGAAAATCAAAGCATTTTTCTACCATAAAAAGTGTCTGTAGACAAAAAAATAAAAGACATTATTGTAAAATCAATACATTGCTCCGCTCTGAATCTAAAAATTATAATCATGATAGTATGTTTATTTGTGATTTGCGTTTAATTTCTTTAAATGTCTATATGATTGAACTTCCAGAGATAATAGATAACTATCTATCTTCAATGATAATTTGTACAATTTTTGGACAAAGGTTTACAATGGTTTATGATGGTTGTAATGGGAGGAAATATGGATAAAATCATTTCACTGTTCTACTTTCCCATTTTCAATTCGATCATCAAATAGCAATCGCTCATAAACTACCTACATATACAGTACATTGGGACATTACGTAATATTATGTTACATACATAACTAACAATATATTACGTAAATTTAGATAATATTATATGGATACCTGTTGAAGTATTACCTATAGGTACAGTTTTATATACTATATTTTATTTATGTCATTAGGATAAAAAAAAATAACTGTTTACAAATTATTTGGTAGGTGAAGTTTTGAATAATTATATAAAATAATATAAAACAAAATAGAACCTACAATTTTGTAATTATTTTATGCTTAAAAACTGTAATAATTGTGTGAAGAATGATATAACAATTTTAAGTATGTTTTTTCGTTTCTCCCTAAACCGGATTTCATTCAGGATAACGTTTTGGGTTTATGTAAAAATTAAAAAATTCCAATTTCCATGTTCACTTTACAGTAGTATTATTGAATAATAGTGTTCCAAAAAAAAAATAATAAAGCAATTAATTTCAGAATTGGAAAAATATCAAAAAATTAATAAAAATGAATGAATTAAACTAAAGACAAAACAATTTTTATTAAAAAATTAACACACATTTTCCAACATTTAAGATTTTTTTATAGAGCACTATAATTACCTTAAAACTACTATTTTGCACAAATGGGTTAGTTAATTTTCTGTTGATCCTCTATTTACAAAACGTTTGCATGCACTAGTACCCAAACGATAACTTTATGACTCAAATATTATTGACCGATAGTCTGAACGCTATAGGCAAAATGGTCAAGTATATAGTCAGTATAATAAATGTATCAATTTTTCATCTGTTTTATAAATATTTTTTTGTTAGTACAGGTTTAAACGGTTCTATAATATAATTTATTTAAATATGACGTTTTTGTTTTTGTAGAAAATCATAGTGCGGCTGTCTACAATTATAGTTGCAGTATCGGCGTGTTGATGGCCATTTACTCAACCATACCGGTAACAACGGTGACAATGGTACTGGAAACGCGGTAACGGCAACGGCTGCCTACTTGTTCGTAATTGCAAGTACATGTGCGGGATAGTGTGCTTACGAGCACTGGAAAAGGCGGTCTTATTGGGCGATGATACGCGTCCGGCGGCGTGTGCCAAAAGCCCGTGGCCAATGATCGTCGTGACCCGTGACAACCACAGTAGAAGCGCTGCAACCACAACCACGGTGGCAGTAGCAGCGGCGGCAACGGTAGCGGTGGCTCAGCAGGTCACCACTTGGTCCTCCGGTTCGCCCGCGGCAGTCTGCAAGATGCGCTCGTTCGCCGCGGTGACCGCCATCACCACCGTCGTCAGGCTGACGGCCGTACTTTTGCTACTGATGGCGTTTGCGCGCCCAGCCACCGCCATAGGAGAGCTCCAGGGCCAGTACAACAGCCCATATCCAGACATTTGCCCCAGGTAGGTTTTTACTCATGTATTTTGGTAGTCATTCTTCGATAACAACGATAACAAAGTATTTTTCGAATGTTGTAACTTGCAACTTTAAAAAAATTAAATATTGCAAAATCACACTAAAATCCATAAAAAAAATGTATTCAAGTACCAAGAAATAGCATTGAAAATTAATAATAAAAATGTTTGTATTGAAATTGGATTTGAAACTGATAACTTATCAATTTAAATATATTACATTATAACTTTATTATATTACATAGGTAATAGGGTTTTAAGTTGTATTACCGCATATATGCGTTAAAATTTCAGGTGGCATACAATTATTTTTCGAAGATTGGATTTCCGACGGTCAATAGTTATTGATATATCCAATTAGATGTACATGGCGTGGTTTTATGTTAGTAAACTCGTATACCTAATTTCAAATGGTCAAGTGTCCACTATACACTTATTTCTTATATAATATGTTTCTAAATGTAAAAGTAAATAATTTTGCTAACATGTGGCTGTATACGCGTGTCATTTCCTTGGTATTATATTGATCTGTTCCTCCAGCATTCTGAAATAATATAATTATAAAATGTAAAAATGAAATGTAATTTCAACTATTCGACTTTAAAGCTTAATGTTTATTGGAACTAGATTTTATCGACTTATTTTTATAATTTATACTGTTTTAAAGTATTATATGGTCTTTTTAAAAATATTTAATGCATTTTATGACTTATCCATTTCAACTCGATTATTGATACAATACGCCGAAGTTTATTATAATTAAAATTACTAACATTAGATTAGAAATAACACATACTGGCTTACCATTATAAATTTAATTACCTACGAAATTATGTACTTAAAATACAGGAAGCAAAATCTATAGTATTTTAATATTTATATCACATAATTTCAAATATTTTAAAGTCATAAGTTTTAACTTTTAACACATAACTCAAATTTATTAAGTATTCAAAATATTTATGTTGGTATATTTAAAATTTCACTGGGAAAAAATATTTTAGGTTTTAAATATTTTATTTCTTATTTTAAACTTTTATATAATAAAGGATATAATCATTTGATATAATATTAGAGAAAATAGATTAATAACTAATAGTTATGTTTTCATAAATTACTTTACAATGTGAAGTAATAGGTATCTGAAAATTATATGCAGCATAAAGTTCACTTTTTATTCCCCCCCCCCCCATTATTCATTTATTAATAAATTTATTCAAATTCTTAAGATTTTTCGTTCTACTTATGGAGTGGAATATGTAAACCCCCCTCCTTTTTCCTGTAATGTGTATTTATTATTTAGTGTATAATTTTAAAAATGTATGTAGTTACTCAATTATTAAAATGTTCATACCAAAGACTTAAAAATGATATTACAAAAAATATAAAAAAGTTATAATATTGAATCAAGTATTTATTATACTTGGACCATTTTTACAAATTATAAATGTTGGTGGATTTATATTAATTACTAACATTTTTAAATCACGGTGGCACCCAAATCATCCGAGCCCCTTATCGTTGGACTTACTATCCTTAGTGTACAAATGTAAATGGTAACTCAAAAATTACTTGTTTTTATTTGGATATTGGATTTTCAGAAAAATTATCTGCTAAACAATTTAGAGTAAAAAAAGGAGATTCTCATTTGAAAAACAGAAGTTTGTGTCTCCTCAAGTAGTACAAAAAAATCTTAGGAATTTTAAAATATAACGTATTATTTCAAAAAAATGTTCGTATGGTCTAGTACCTATAAATAAAAATGTCAAAAATCGGTTGTCGAATTACTGCATTATTAAAGAAAAAGGTAGGTGAGCATGAATGATAAATCATCCTATATTCCTATATACATTTTAATAATGATAATATATAATATATTACATCATTTATACTAAATGTTTACATGTTAATTTATTGCAAGTCAAGTATTGAGTAAAATTATATGATTCCACGAAATGAATACTATTATGCCTTATAATTATTTTTACGACATAATAATATTTGTTGGTTGATATTAGCTTCATGTATTGTACAGTTCTTTTAATTTCTTTCAATAGATTTTTTAATATTTTGTTGGCCTAAATTAACTAATATAATTACTATTTTAATCATTTGCAGGATAAATAAGTAATTATTCTTTATTTTACTAATATTTTAAAACAATATAATATAGACCCTTCATTTCTATATGAATATTAGGTAAATTATATCAAAATTATCTATTTCACAGTTAATTATATATTCCACCTTTTGTTTGAATATATATATTTAAATTCACCAGAGTCTATTAAATGATGTTCCTAAATTGTCTATGAATTATCGGCCACTTAATTATTAATTATTTTCTTATGATTGTATATGAACCTGTCACATAATTAATACAATTTACAAATAGGTAATGCTATTTTAATGTTCAAATGTATAAAAATTAGAAAACCTTTTTCTCTTCATTACTTTTATATATTTTTTTAATGTGTGTACATTTTAATATGTGTATATTTAATATTCTGTAATTAATCAATGATCTTTACATATATAAATGGAAAAGTGGACTTAATTTTAAATTGTCACAAATGTAGATATTGTATATTATTTAAATGTATTAACATATGATTTTTTACTGAAGTAATCTTACTTAATAACTATTGTAGTTTTTAATTTTAATTTCAATTTTTACCTTCCAAGGTAGTATCAATTAAGTATTATATTTTGTAAAATATTTGAGTTTCCGAGGTTTTATCTTATCCAAGATATCTTAGTTTAAGTCCTTCTTTAAAACTAATTTGCCGTTATCCTAATATATTATGTAGTATAAGTAATAACAATAACAAAACGAAAATGGTTAGGTTAAAAAGCCTATACAAATTAGAATTTTTACAGCAGCCTGTTTAGTACCTATGATAATTTCATGTTCAAATTACTTTTACCAGACGTTTCACATAAATGCGATTTTAATTTCTTTTACGTTTAATAATATAATCTTATATAATAGGTACTAAGTAGATTATGATATAAAACATTACAAAGTAAATCTATGTTTTTTTATAACCGACAACATTTTGTTCAGTACTCAGTAGGTAGGTACCTACCTACCTACTCTATACTAAATTTCTTAACGACACCTCTATAATAATTAGTTATATTGCCATATTAATATAAATAAATTATTTATACATAATATTAATACTAATGTGTTTACTACTTTAAACATTTTTATTTTTATAATAGTATTTTTAAATAGTGTCGAAAGAAGCTTGACAAAATTATTAATTATACAAATTTTATTTTCAATGAAGTAACTAATTTGATTACTAAAACAAGTCTGTAATCATTATTCATTACGCGTTATTATGTATAATACAATAATAATATGATCGACTGTGCGATAGTGCCGCGGTGTAAACTAATCTATTCAACATTTAATTTATTTTTATTTTTATTAATCTAGTAAGTAACACACAAATACACAATACTTATGTAACTAGTAGTTAGGATCAGGGTAGACGGACATTAAAAACACGGGCTACGAGCACACGGATTCTATAACACACGGGTACACGGGTACATGGACTCTAAATACACGTATACACGTGTATTTTAATTACACGGGCTTTAACACCATTTTGTTAAAAACACGGGTATCCGTATTTTTAAATACACGTGAAATAGAGACCTCTAGTAACTACGATGGATTTCATCCTAAGAAATTCAAAATAATATAGTTTTTGAATTTTGTTGTTTTAGTCTGTACTTACCTAATTTAATAGAGCTCTAAGAACTACCTACTACTTTTAATGCATTGATTATAATTTGTCTATTAAATAACAATAAATAGTTGTTGATTGCAAGTGATCGAAATTTATGCAGTAGTATTAGTATTTGTAATATAATTTGTTATAACTTTATAAGGTTAGGATAACTGACATATTATATATTTGATCCTATTACCGGTGTTTTTTGTATAAAATAAATCTTTAACCTAGCTTCGTATTTCATAACTTGATGTAATCCAACCATAACACATACCATTCAGTATTTCATTACCCAATTATATGAGTAATTAACCCATTAGACGTTTGATGTCACATACCAATACGAATTCCACCTTCAATTGTCAATTGTTTTTACGTTTTTCAGCTGAGTTATACTATTGTACTCGAGTCTACCTAGTAGGTTTATGTATTCTAACGTTTATCATAATTTGTCTAAAGAGCTTAGCTTATAATACCTAAATAATAATAATAACAATGATTAGACTTTTTGAAGGAAAGTAGAGGTAAACTCTGATATTATTAGAATACGTAGTACTTAATGATAAATATATAATGTATCGAATGCAACCATAAGACCTGATAAATACAAATAAAAATTGATAAAACGTAAACGTATGAAAAAAAAATATGAAAATTGAACAGATAATAAATAATTTAAGATTTACTTATGCCTGAAGTTCTTGAAAATAATATTTTGAAAAATGTAGTTATGTTTCGAATTAATATAGATACTTAAAAAAATATGATTAAGGAAAATTAATTTTTTAAAAATATAAACTACTTGACTTAAATAAATTTAATATTTTGGATTGAGAGCGAGGGATGCATATATTGATTTTACAATAATGTGTGTTATTTTTTATTTTTGTGTCTGTCATCACGGTTAGTGAATCTAGTTGGTACATTCGGGAGATGAAAATTTAAAATTCTCAAAAGTTTTTAAAAGTGACAGGAAAAATAAACAAAAAAATTAATAGAAAACGAGAATTTTTAAGCAAAACCAGTTTTCGAAAAAATCGATTTTGATTAATCGTGTAACTCTAAAAAATATGACCAAAGATACATGACATTTTCACTGAATATTTGTGTTGGTTCAGTTTTCACTGAATATTTTCTATACACCATAACATTTTCAAATTATTTTTACTCATGTTTAACTTTTTACAGGCATATACAATTTTCGATTATTATTAAAGTTTTTCGATTCATGTCTACACAAAGATGTTGAAAAACTTGAAAATATAATACAATCTTCCACATAAGTTGTTGTTAGTAGAAATTTTAAAGAAAAATTTGAGTGAAAGTCCACAATATTTTTTTATGAATTTCTGAATTTAAAATTTTGAATAAAAAAAAAGAAAAACACTTAAAGATCACGGAAATTTACAAATTATTCTTAATTCATAAAAAGCTTTCTTTTCATGTTTAAGATTTGAAAATTGAATATAACGTCCTTTATATATTTGTCTACCTTTATCAAAAAAAATTCAACCGGAAAATCAAATTAAATTTTTATGAGCCTTTGGAGTTGAAATGTTTAGAACATTGGATATTCACTCCATTCCTCATATGGTGATTTTCTTATTTTGTTGTAATTCAAAAACTTATAACTGCAGAGACTTGACATTTACACCATATGTTTATATTATCAATTCATATGCTTGGGAAAATTTTCAAAATATTTTGACTCGTTTTGAGCTATTTACGGACATTTTCAATTTTCTTTTTTTTTCTATAATTTTCAATAAAATTTTATTTGTTAGGTCAAAAAACTTGAAATTTGAATACAAGGCTCTTGATTTTTTTTTTTTACAATATTAAAGTTAAAATGTTGATAACATTATTTTATCAAATTGAAAAATGATTTTGTCGTTAAAAATGTATATTTTCAATTTTTTATTGCTAAGGATTGAAAATTAAAAACAGTATGCTACGTATAAGTAGTTAATTCTGTAAGCAAAAAATCTAAAAACAAATATATACAGTTTTTTATAGTCATTTTAAGTTAAAATTTAGACGAAATTACATATTAACATTATATTTGTAAGTTATTTTGTTGTTGTATTAATATTTTTTATTATTTAATTTAATAAACTACAAAAATAATTCTATTTAACTATATTTAGGATAGATACAACAGTCACGCTATCTTATACTCCAAAACGTTGACAATACAAAATAAACTTTAGTCTTTTTGAATTTACTTATGAATTATAATCACAATAAATTTTTTTAATATCGTTATCTCTTTGTAAATTTGTATTATCTGTCATCACTGTATCAGGTACAAATAACTGTTCAAATTTGAATAATATTCAAATTTAATAAAAAATAAATTATATGTGTACCATCGTAGTTAAATATCACATTTCCAATATTGGGCATTGGTTAATGCATTATCATTATTGAAACACAAGTGAAACGTTTAAAGATATTGGAATAGAATATGCGAATAGCTTACAATATTTTATAACATTATTGACATAAAAGAAAAGCATACTACCTAGTATTATTTTTAAATTGAATCATAGCTGTACTAATAACTTGTTTGATTAAACAATCTTTAATTAAATAACACAATATTGTTTTTAACATTTAACAGAATTTATTGAAACACGATGACTAATTAGTTATATGTTCAGCCATAAAATACAATACAATACGCTATGTAAAAAATTGTCTCAACATGAATTAGCATTAAAAATATTATTTTCTAGTGCAGCGTTTCTTAAACTGTGTTCCGCGGAACCCCGGGGTTCCGCGGAGGTCACTTCAGGGTTCCCCGAAACTTTTGGTTTTTTGTTCAAAATTTTAAATTTTGACACATAATTATAACTTTTATTGCAAATATTCTTTACATAAAATGACGCATTGAAAGTATTGAAACAATGTAGTGGTTCTAATTATCGAGCTGTGATAATTTATTGCTAAGAGCTCAATAAAAAAAAGCTAAAAAAAGTTGGGGGTTCACGGTGAAAGTACACATAAAAAAGGGTTCCACGGATAAAAAAGTTTAAGAAACGCTGTTCTAGTGTAATATACTTAATATTCATTTTTTTGCCATTATTATTGGAATATACTTTATTTTTATTTTAAAAATACTTTGCTTTTAAATTACTTTTTTGTAAACGTTTTGCCTCAACTCAACGAGGAATAAGAATATACCCTACGCAGTACCATGTTTTAACGGAATAGAATTAATCCACTACCAGTTACATTCTTATCGGGATATAAAGGATTTTATATTTATTTCCTTTTCAATACGATATGTATTAACATTGTTCTGTATGCATGTATAGATTATCATATAATAACTGTTTTATATTATTTACAAAATATAACTGTGTTAAACATTGGCTATCAAAAATTATTTGCCATCGTTTTTAATCATAAGGTATTTTTATGTGTTGTTACTCGTTATAGTGATATATATTGTCACGGAGAACTTCTAGACGATATACAAATGCAACAGTTGTATCCAGACTCCAAAACATTCGTAGACAAAAAGTTACGTCGGAGTGAAGCTGAAATCGTAAAATCGTATAGGGAATTGAAATTACGAAATAACGGTCGAGTGCCTACTCGTGGTGTACTTTCCAAATTTGTTGATGACAACTTCAGTGATGACCCATTGGTCGAGTGGATGCCGCCTGATTTTGTCGAGACTCCCACTATCAGTACTTACGTACAAGATCAAAATTACAAGTAATAATTAAATACAAAGATTAAAGAATTATAACTATAAATTATACCATAGCGACAACATTTAAATCCAGGCTAGGAAAATATCACATTTTAGTATGTTTTTAATGTGTATTATTTATTTTTAAGGATTTGGATCTTACAACTTAATCAAATATGGAAGAGATTGGCCCGGAGGGTGGATGAAGACGTTAAAGTAAACCCTGATCGTCATTCATCCATTTATTTGCCGAATGGATTCTTCATAGCTGGTGGCAGATTCACTGAACTCTATTATTGGGATTCGTATTGGATCATAAGAGGTGAGAAAACGGCTTTTTAAAAATGACTATTATAAATTATAAATCCATGGTGCAAATAATATTTTATTGACGTAGGAGCAATACTGTGTGACATGAAGGATTCTGCCAGAGGAATCATACAAAATTTCCTTTACTTGGTTCACCGCTTTGGTTATGTACCGAATGGAAGTAGAATTTACTATTTAATGAGATCTCAGCCACCACTCCTCATCCAAATGGCTGCATCGTATTATACGTATACAGACGATTTGGAATTTATCAAGAAAAACATACAAGTAAATTACTTATGACTATTCAATTTTAGTTTTAATTTTTTTAAGGATCAGCTTTAGTCAACACTCTTTAATATGTTTAATTAAAAAATAGTAAAGGTCAAAGCTGAATTTGAAATTAATTTATATTATATTGCATTATAAAAATAAATAAAACGCTTATATTTTTAAAAATCATTTTCAAATATTCATATATTTTTTAACAGTATCTGGAAGCAGAATTCAATTTTTGGATGACAAACCGAACGATAAAAGTTGAAAAGGCAGGTAATACTTACGTTATGGGACAGTACAACACACATACCCGGGGACCTCGACCCGAATCTTATTAGTAAGTGTAAAATTGATTTTCAAAAATATACAATATACATGCTCAATACAAACTTATTTTTTGTTTATAGTCCAGACAAAACCTTAGCTATGCCTCTTTCTACCGTAGACGACAAAAATGAGTTATATTCAAGATTAAAAGCTGCTGCCGAAACGGGATGGGATTTTTCGACCAAACATTATAATAATTTTGGCCAAAACACTGGTAATATTATTGAAGTATCACTTAAAATCATATAAAATCTACATAAAACATATTTAAATAAAGAAATTACAAACAAGTGACAAAAATTAATAAGCAGCTATATAGTATTAGTATACCATGAATTATAATACTTAAGTAAATTAATATTACTATATTCAAACACCACATATTTTGTCTTTGAGAAAACATAATATTTGTTATTGTTTACTGAACCTAATGAAAACACTTTGATTAATAACATAATACTAACGAATCAAACACAGTTGTTTATGAGTTTATTTTTTCTATAAATGCAAAAATATTCCTTACATTTAATAATATTATTACATAGTTGAACTACAATAATGTGATAGGATAGTAATTGTTATTGACAGTTTTCAGTTATAAAATTTTTAATATATCATTTGTAGTTTCTTAACTATCTATTATAATATTTTAAAAGTATATTCAATACTTAAACTAACATAATTTATACGATTATTCGACAGTTAATAATTCACAAATAAATAACAAACGAATATTATATATTTGAATACGAACAATAATATTACTTTTATCATACATATTAGTATAGATATTGCCTATTGTTAATTGTGATTACTACAAAAAATAAACATTAAATAATATAATTAATTACCCTTACTAGCTAGTACTTAGTAGTCACTTTAAAAAACTTTGGGTACATACGTGTGCAATTTTAAAACATTTTTTATACTGCCTATACTACTTGAAGCTGTTAAAACTATAGCCCAATTATATATTTTTATTAAAATATTAAATTAATTACATTTTTTTTATTTTGATTGTGTTTTGATGAATTAGTTAGATTTATTTGTTTTTATAAATACACATTATCGTGTAAGTTATTAATTTTAATATTTTCAGGTGATTTGTCTAATACGGATCCTCAGAATTTTATTTACGTAGAGTTAAATGCAATATTACAAGCTAATGCAGTAGTTCTTGCTCAACTGTTTAAATTACTGGGCAATGATGCTAAATTCAAATATTATAATGACATCGGTCACCGTTTTCAGATTGGAATAAACGCGGTTAGTGATATTTAATAATATATAATTATATTCATTTAGTGTAAAATGTGTTACTAAAAAAGTTTTTTTTATTTGGTATGAACATATAGTTGTTGTGGAATGAAGAAGAAGGTATTTGGTTAGATTATGACTTAACCACTAAACTGAGTCGTAAGTATTTCCATGCTTCCAATTTTGCACCATTGTGGACTGGTAGTTACGAGAAAAAACTTAGAACGTTTTATGGTAAACGGGCGGTGGACTATTTGATAGTTAACGGTGTTATCAATCAAGATGGAACTCCAAAACTAATTTGTAAGTATAAAATATCAATAGTAAATTAGTAAATTAAGTTAGATATGATCTACTCAAATTATTAAAGACAACCATGGTCCATGGCGGATGTGTTAAATTTGAATTCAATGATAATTGAAAAAAATTACTGTTTTCGAGTTTTGGTTAGTTTTATTAGTTTTTACAATTATTTTATTAAGGCAGAACATTTTGAGCCTACAAAGTGTCAACTAGGAGATACTGAACAAAGTCTATGCTCTACCCACTAAGATAATTGAAACAATAAATTAAAAAATGTATATATTTTACAAATTTTAATGTCACAATAATACATTATATAATCATTACAACCATTATTATTTATTATATACTATTATAATAACTAATAAGTATAATGTATATTATAAATATTTCAATATTTGTCAAAATCTTTTCTTTCGTTGTACCATTATAATATTCTTATAAGTTTTAATAATCAAGTTGCGGATTCCGCACTTGAGCCGGCTGTGGCAGCATAGCTGTCATTCACGTTAATATCCAAGAACAGCATAAATGCACTAGGTGTAAAAATAAATATGAGTGTGGGGAGGAAATTGGAAAGTGAGCGAGGGCTATCGTCATAGTATGGGACGTGTGTTTTTGTACAGTAGCAATGTCATAAAAATATTTTTTCATTTTTTCAATATATTCTATTTAAAAATAACAGTTCGAATAGATTTTGAAATCAAAAATGTTCAACATTTCCATCTATTGCAATATGCTTTAAACTTGGTGGAATAAAATGTGTAACTTTGTGTATTACAAAGTATAAAAATATTAAATTGAATAGTTTATAAATTAGAGCAGTACCCATGACAAGTAATAACTGATAATGCAATTTACACATTGTACATTAAATAATTTAAACTGAACAATCTAATAGTACTACAATACAAATTTAAAATTTGAAATTTATCATTTTTAATTTAGGTGTACCAACAACTAATGTGAACTCTACTCAACAATGGGACTATCCGAATTGCTGGCCTCCACTTCAAGCCATGGTAATCCAAGGTTTAGACCGCACAAACTACAAACCTGCCCAGACTGTTGCTATAAACTTGGCCAAGTCATGGATAAACACTAATTACGTCGGATACATAACCAGTGGCACTATGTTTGAAAAGGTAATTTTTCCATCATTCAATAAATAGTGTGGTGTTAACTTTAATAATTGAAAATTTTTGTTCGGTAAAAACGAGCATTTGTATTGATTTCATTCAAAAACGGTTTCTTAAACGTCAACACCGTCAATTATAAATTAAAGCTAATTTCGACTCAATTGTATGTTTTATTTGTATTTACAGTACAGTGCAATCGAAGTGGGCACGACCGGCGGGGGTGGCGAGTATACGCCTCAGACTGGATTTGGATGGACAAATGGTATAGTGTTCGAACTTTTCCGAAGATGGGGACACCTATTTCGATCAACTTAAATACCTACCACACTACACAACCGACCATGTACTCATATTGTACATAAATAAACGAAATATTTTTGAATTTTTTTTCTACTTACCTGCATATTTTTTAATTAAAACGACAATACAGTATATAATTATAGATATATCTGTACAGCATTTCCATTTTTGTCATTGTATATAATCAATATTTTATTTTATACATGTATATATATTATGTATGATGTTTGTTTAATAAATTATGATATTATAATTAAATCTTCTAGTTTTGGGAGTACAATAACACATAATAATAATTATATATTTATACGAATGTATACTAGTCCAAACGACTACGCGGAGCACTTCGGAGTTAGGTGTAAATAATTTGCAGCAATTAGGTAGGTACCTATATGTTCACTTTTCAAGCGAACTTTTGATCTGAATTTGTAATCAGCAAATTTAAACTTATGACTATCTGATAACATATGACATAATAGTAAAATATAAAAATTTGGTTTTCATTTGAATGTTTTTTTCTGTGATCTTTTTTCTTTTGATTTTTCATGTTATAGTTTTTATTTAATTTTTACTTTTTTTCAGAGATTATGCTATAAATGAGTTTATTTCTATATAACATGCATAATATGGTAATGCTAGGGCCTAGGGCTTTGGAGTATAGTCAGGGGTTCACAAAAATATATTTATAATCATCGCAGGTGCGATAAGCAGCTACTCCATTGTCAGTTGCCACCGTTACGAACGACGGATACAACATCGAAACGAGACAAACCGTAACCCCTCATCTGCATCGATAATGCACTGGTATGTCGCCGGGAAGATAGAAAAGGTCAATTAGAATTATTGTCGACAGCCGAAATACTTGTTCACGATAATGAAAATAAACCGGTTTTGGGCCGAGCCTTCCAGGATCACTATCCAGCAGCGTGCAACACAGCCAATGACCTGTAGGCTGTAACCCACTCAAATCTGAAGAAAACAAGGCTTTGGTACGAAAAAAATCACATCAAGCTGAATTTTGGCATACACCTTCATAACGTTGTAACAAACAATGCTTAAAAGTTGACCCCCAGTTTTAGGTCAAAGGTCACGAAATTACCTATTTTGAATATCTCTCTTTTCGTCGGTCGTACAATAAAAAGTTTTTGACAAAAATTGTAGAAGAAACGAATTATTCAAAAGATGGTTGTTTTTGTTTCATAATATTACATATCTATAATCAAACTTTCAAAATTCACCACTAAAAAAAATGACGAGCGTATATTACGGTAATAAGAATGCATTCGTTTAATGCATTTTAAATTGTAGAATACTGCACCTGGATGCTGCCCGGCTAGCTGGTTGTTTGTGGCGTTTGTGGTATGGTATGTTGTTAGTATGCATATATTATGTTTGTAATTTAAAGACCGGTTAATATATTATACAGGCATCTTATACTCCCTATTTTTTTTAACAACACCTGCCTGGGCCAGGTATACACGTATACCATCGAATATAGTACGATATTTAGTTGTGTTTGGTCCGTCGTCGTGTTTTGTGTAAATATACACCGTCATTTAATGTTATTTTTGTGAGTTTACTAAAGATACACATTTATTTGCGTGATTTGTAAGTTTATACCTATTACATTGCCAACTTATGGACATATAAAACTGTTGATGTTGAGCGTATTTTACAAACTTTAGTAATGACAGAGACAATGAATGCATTGCATTTTTATTGCATTGCGATTTAATGGTGACGGTTCATATACAATACCGTAAAGAGTCTACCACAAGCAAAACATTGCGACATTTAGAAGACAACGTGATGAAAACACCGAAGGTCTATCAAACCCATCACCGCATATAAAACCAAAGGTGGGCAAGTTAATGAAAATAATCAAATTAAGTTAAGATAATACAATATCGTTAGAAGTAAACAGTTAACAAATCACACATTTAACTCGATAAGTCCAATGTTAATATGATAAAAAGTAACTTAACTCAATTAACAGTAAGTAACTTAAACTACTTTTTTTTGATAAATTATGATGTGGATCACATAAAGAGTGACTGCATTCTTTCTAATTTCCTAAATTAGAATAATTAATTTTATTGAACTTATATTGTAACGTACAGTGTATACCTAGGTAGGTATGCCTATTTTACATGGTTATTAAATATTCAAATTATACACACCTCAATAAATAATTAACAAATATTAATTTTTTATATCAAATTGCAATTTCAAGTCTTATAATATTACACCTATCTCTTCTACTAAATTAAATTCATACAAAATATGTATACAAAATTAATTTATCCAGAAAAATAACAGAAATGTTTGTATTATTATAATATTGGATTATTTTTATTTTTATTATTTTTTTATTTATTTGAAATACACGCCTGAAGGCTTTTAGTCAAGATAAAATTAAATATTTTTACTAGTTTGACAAAAAATAAACTTAAATTTAATAATTACTTATGAGACCATAAGAACCAACAATTTCAAAATGTATTGAACTTTATGAATTATTTTTAAATTTTCTGAGAAAAGCTAAGTTCTTTAAACTGTCAATATAATTAGTGAAGTGAATAAGTCGTTTAGTAGATTAAACAACTAGGTAGCTACGTAATAGCTTTGTAACTACCTAGTTAATCCCCACCTTTGTCAAAACGGACAAGCGCGTTTGATTTTCAAACGCTTGCTTATTTTGAGGTGAAAAGCTGACGAAGAATCAGAGATAAAGAAACACCAAGAATGTACATGGAAAATTTCCCAGGTTAGTACACTTTTTTTTAAAGTGAATGTTATTATACTCGGTAAAATTGTAAGGGAAAGAGTTAATTTTGAATACGATTTAGTAGCTGCTGAGGCTAAATTCCATAATATAAAAAGCAAGATATTCAATAAAACTTATTTTTAAGTTACTTTTACTTCGAATAACTTATGACACGTATATGATTTTGTGGTCGACTTCTTTTACTTACGTTGTTTTATGACGACGTTATAAAATATAACTACCTATAACGTAATTATATAAGAAATTCAGCTTAATAAATTTTTTTCCGTACCGAAAATCTAATTTCACTGGGAGCGTTTAAATTGAATACAAATAAAAACGTCATGTTCAACGAAGCCAAGTGAGCAATGTAATTATTTACCACACAACGCAGCTCGTCAACAAAGCAGTACCAGCACTAAGCTGTGCAGTACTGCAGTGTGCATAGTTTAGTTTTGACGAAAACGGATACGAACATAAATGACTAAATTACGTGATTCTAAAAGGTCCTTGTGTACAAGAAGATTTCTAGTCACTATATAATGACACGATTTCGCCTGCTCAAATATGTATTTACTATCGATGTTAAATAAGTGTATACATACAGATATAGGTGTCAGAAGACTGACATGATAATCAGCCCATTTGAAGTGTGAAGATCTGACCTGCCACTTGATGTTTACCGTCAAAAAACTGTCAACTACGGTGATAAATTACAGTGTCATACTTAAAAAAATTGTCAGAAGAAGAATCGTCAAACTGTAGACAATTTTCTCGACGATAAGTTGCATTAAAATTGAGTGATGACCTAATAACTCTTGTAAAGAACACAGGTCTAGACCAATGCAAATGGTCTAGTAACGATTTCGAGTTGTTAATTGGTGTTAATATGTTCTAATAATCCACTAGATTTGAATTATACAGAAAATATTACAAACATTTTGAGACTGTTATGAAAAACAAAATGATGCCTACCAATACAAGGTACCTATTACTTATATCAGTATTTATAATAAACAAGCGAGAATCACAAAACTCTCAATTCTCTCCAAAATTGCTCCAATATTCGATCCGTTGGGCCCTTGTCATAATTTTTTTTAAAATTATGATACGGAAGTTGGGCCAAATACAACAAAATTGTTATGCAACATTAGCACCAAAAATCGTGGGTGAGTGCCCCAAGTGTCGCACAAATTGAATAACTACCTACAAATTAATCTTTTACACTCTAGTGATGGTGATGTTATTGACTTATTGTCTACTTATATAAATCTGCATGGGTGATTTTAGCGTAACTGCGGGCAGGGTGGCAGCTGCAGTACCAAATTGTTCGATGTTTACCTGTGAAAAAGTTCAATATTGTGTGGTGTTAATAAATATAGTAGAGAATTGTTTAGTCGAAAAAATGAAAATAGTTGATTAATTTTACCTTGTTAAAATAATTTCGTTTTTCAAACTTATCAGTTGTACGTTATCTCTTATTACATAAGTACCTATCTCATTTTTTTTTCAATACTTAAATTATAAAATAATAATTTAATTTTTTTTTAAAGAAAAAGCCTCTATGACGTGACCATTGGCATGTTTTACATAATATGATATTAAATAATTTCAATTAAATTGCACAATCCAATGTCTTTCATGAGTAAAGTTATATTTTTGATTGATCTTCGCCGGGGTCCAGTGCGTCGTGAAGATGTTCAGGTATATTGTATTTTTATCGAGCCTCTTTCGTGTCTCTACATTCGGTAATGATATGTTTGATTGAAGTTGGATATACGCATGTAAGACATGTTTTTGGTGGCTCTTTTTTCATTAGATGGTCATATGTGGTGTGTATGACCTATTCTGAGGCAATTTAATATAATTTTGTCTCTTCTTTTGAGAGACATTGGGTTATTCCATTTTTCTATTGTTCTTTTTATTTCGTTTGATTTAGTGTTCAATTTTAGCCTGATAATTTAATTATATATTATAATATATTGTAAAATAATAAAATACATTCAGCATAATTCTCATTTTATTTTGTTTAAAAGAATAAAGAAAATGTGAATTTTTTCGATATTAATATTTGAATTGTAAAATGAAACAAAAAATGTGGTTACAGATTTTAAGTTGTGCCTTTAGGTTATATCTTATAAATATATTTATGCCCCGTACGAAATTTGAGTCCTGGTTTATAGACAAGTTACTAATGTCATATTATGGTTCTAGTCAATACCTCTGTGTAAAAAGTCACAGCTGCGAA